CCTTGCTGGCTGGAGAATTCTGGAAGTTGAAGTCCACCCATCTTAAAGTTGCCAAGGTTGAGGAACTCTGGTCTAAAACATGTATTACCTGTCCCCAGTTGCTAGTGAGGACAAAACACTACTTGGGTTATTAATATTATATAGCTATTCCTTATCAAGTTCCCTTTCTTTGGATGATGAATGCATGGATTTGTTTATTGGTTCCTTTCACAGAGAGCAAAGGGAAAAGAAATGCCCTTCATGATTACCGGAAAACAGCTGATACCTCATTAATAAGAATAGACAAGACACTGAAAGTGAAAACGAAGCTGCTAAATACTGCAGAACAGTGTGCCAAGAGATGCAACAGAAGTAAAGGACTTTTATTCATTTGCAAGTAAGGAATACTGTACTTTTCATCTCTAAAGGTTCTGCTTTTTAAGAGAGTAGCCTAAAAAAGAAGCAGGCTGATGGACCCAATGCTAGAGGTTTGTATGACTTGGACTTTGTTTGGATCTTCCTTCTGGGAAGGATGGTACAACTCTATCTTTTTTCCCTGAATATAGTCCAGAAGGTGAGTGAAGATAACTTCTAAACAGGGCCATTGCTCTTAGGTCCTTTGGTTCTATCTGCATTTATGATTATTATGGTCTTCATATTGCTATGAATTTAATTAGAAAACAGAGAATTGGAGAAATGGTTCAAAGCCCTGAACTCAGAATTCAGAGCTGCCAAGAAAGAAGTGTTTTCAAGCCCTTGACCAGATCAACTTCATCTTTGTGCATTTGTGTTTTCTTAGGCAGTTCTTGTAACATTGGAAGTATTGCAATACCTGCCTGTCCTTTTAGTTTACCTATAGCAGTAGATAACTTAGATCCCCCATGGAACCAGATAGTCTTCTTTTCAATCTGGCTAGGGTCCAAATTACTTCTGGCTTGCCTTGGCTTGAGGCCTTCAACCCAGTTAGAAAAAAGGGGGAATTGATTTTAAAAAATATGTAAGTGAGCCTGTGTGTATCCACAGACTCATATCCGCATATCCACAGACAGGAAAGATCTAAGAATTGGGATTTCAAGATTCTAGAGCAGCGTTTCTCAACCTTGACAACTTGAAGATTTGTAGGCTTCAGCTCCCAGAATTCCCCAGCCAGCCTTGCTGGCTGGGGAATTCTGGGAGTTGAAGTCCACACATCTTCAAGTTGCCAAGGTTGAGAAACACTGTCCTAGAGCAATGCTTGTTACCTTGCATTTAGCTTTGTAGAGATTGGATTTTCATGCATCCAGTGGTTAGAAACAAAAACAAAGTCTATAGCTGTTTTGAAAATATCCAGTGGAAATAGCAAATACACACTGCTTATAGTATTGACTCCATGTGGGGGTGGATAAAAAGCTTGAGATTGTCAAACTTCATTGAGTATGACAGATTCTGGGCTAAAACTAGAAGTAGTTTGTGATGCAACTGATACTTCATCTTGCTGAGACTGAGAATGAGTGAAGGATAATAAGACTCTAGCAGTTATGGGTAACATTTTCTACTCCCACACAGTTTACTCTTGTGCAAGATTTTTTTTTTAAAGAAAAAAATATTTGCCTTTCATATAATCATTTCTGAAATCAGAGTCAAAGCTCCCGATGATAGATCATTGGGACCTCCTCTGCTAATAAATTAAATTCTCGGCAGCACAGTCCTTCCTACTGGGTCCAGCTGGAGTGAAGTAGATGCTTGTTTACATTCTTTGAGTTGTGCTTTCTCTGTCTATTAGGTACAACCTCATTTTATTCAAAGAAAGTACATTTTTGACCGCTATCATTGGCTGAGCAAAGCTATGATGGATCTGAAGCTTGTTCAAAGCTTGTTGGTGCATTGTGACCTTTCCAGACATTTTGAATACAGCAAAATCTTGCTAGTCTGGTGCCTGAAAGTTGATGGTGGTCACCATTATTTCTTAGCCACTTCCAGATTTGAAGGAAGGTATAGGATGAAACAGTTGCTCAAAAGTTCATTTATATGGACAATTGTTTTCAAAAATACAAAGATTCAAAACTTCACATCTGTATTTCAAAAGGAAGACAAAAGCACTAAAAGGTCATCCTGTTGCTGTGGAATTTAGAGAAATGGGCCTGATCAATAAAGGATCTTTTGGGAAACAGGCTTGTTTCCCAGAAAAAGAAAAAGGTACAGTTACACTGGACTCCTGGTAACTACATGAGCACAACTATGAAATTATTTAGCAACAGTCTGGAAGTGGTTGGGCACTGTCTTCTTCTGAGTTCTTTGTCACTGCCTACTGTCCTGGCATTTCTTAGAACTAACCAGAACCAACCATGCTTTGCTTCCTTCCATGAGCAGAAAGGTCAGCCTGGTACTGCCATCTGCGGAGAACTTCCTCAGTATTACTGTACCTCTCAGTAATTGATTTCAGGCAGTGAATTTGTCCTGCAGAATCACTTTTTCAACTTAGTATGATAATAATTGTCACGGAGAAGTGCCACCATGTAAGGCAGTGTTCCTCAACCTTGGCAGCTTGAAGATGTGTGGACTTCTTCAAGCTGCCAAGGTTGAGGAACACTGATGTAAGGCATCCACACTGTCTCTCTTCTAAAACACTAGATCCTAAAAAGGGATTTTCAAGCCCCTTTTTTATTTCAGGAACTATTATTGTGATCTCTTTCAGAATCAGAAGTCACTCTTTTTCATCCCTGAGCAACTGGAAAGTCAACAAACGTTTGTGGCACAATCCTACAAAAGATAAACTCTCCTTTGAATTGTACTTGACTCATGGTGACTTCATGGAGATATGCGCATGGCTTTCTTCCCAAAAATATGGAGCCATTGTCTTTTGGGGGGATTTTTCTTTTACCTCTCAGTCCAGCTGACATCCATAATATTCCCTGGTGGTCTCTGAGATCAGATAAAGTTGGTGAAGAGCCGTACTGAGGACACAAACCCGAATCTCTCCACTATGCCCTTTCATGGCCTGCATAACTGGAATTTGACTTATGCCTCTGATTCTTAGTGAGATCATTAGTAACTATACTTCATGTTAATAATATTAGTAATATCAATGATTTCATTTAATAATATTAATAATGCCTGCCTTTTGAAAGCAACTCTGTAATTATTGCTAGCAATATCATTTGTAAATTGTTTCCAAAACTCAGAAGATCTTTTTTTTTTTTCATTTTAATATTGGTAAGGATAGTAACTTAAATATTAAGTTACAAATATTTTTAATTTAGAATTCCCTGTGTGCTGAGTGCTGTTCATCCATGTTCAGCTAAAATAAAAATAGCTAGAGAAAAGCACTGAGGAAAATCTTCTATAGATCATGGTACTAGTGAGCCTCACATCAATATGCATGAATGTATATATAAATGTATATCCAGCAAAGCAACTTATGCATCCCAAATGCCTCTTCAATTTTTTCTCCATACGACCTTCATAATTAAAAACTGCCTTACATTTATCTGTACCAAAGTAGAATCTGAACACCCTAATCTTCTTGAGTCTGAAAGAAGGGCAACAAATTCATAAATGTCCAGTAAACTGGAAAAAAAAAAAAGTAAGAATGTGGTGTTATCTGAAGATACATTAATTCTGTCTAGTCTCTGAGATTTTCTCCCATGTAATTATGGTGATAATGAAAACCATATATCCCAGGAGAACTTGACTGTTCAATTTATTTTGTTTTCTATCCAGGGCTTTCGCATTTGACAAAACGACCAAACGCTGCCATTGGTTATCTTTTACTAGCCTAGAAAATGGAGTCAGGAAGAAACATGACAGTGCATTCGTTCTCTATGAAAAGAAAGGTAAGTGGCCCAATTGGGTTAGCCATGCTGCAGAGATAAGACCATTTTTTTGTTGGACAAGGGTTTCGGTGAGTCATGTGATCATGCAGAGCAGGGAGGACTAGGTCATAGGTGTGGGTTAGGAGAAGATGGGGGTTTTCTGTGTCCTCACTGAAGCTTATTGCAGGCTTACACCACTGTGTTCTTTCCTGCCTTAAAATGGTGGGAAATGGGGGGAACGCTTGGAGGGCCCCCAAGGACAAAAAATGCCCAACCTTCACTGTTGCAATTGTAAATTTTCTCCTTTATATCTATTCTAAAGCTTTACAAAGAGCAGGTGGCCCCCCAAAATATTGCCTAAAAGCTCTGTGTTCCTGTAAGAAAATAAACTTCTGCTGGATGAAGTGAAACTAAAGGAAGATTGATGAAACTAAACAGAGCATTGTTCTTTGGCCATAATCAATGTTCCATGAATGAATATAGATAAAACCAGTGATCTGTATTAGATACAATTTTTGTTGTTATTTATCTAAAAAAAAAATCAGAACCATTCTTTGAACTGCTTTTGACACTCTCCTCTATTCACTTTTGCTAACAATACATGGATAGGAAGACAATTTTCCTTTGGTCTGCACGCTTTCCCAAAATTGTGATACAGTTTTCCAGTGTGATATATATGTACAAAAGAGGCATTGAGAAATGTATACAATGAAGGAATGTTGTATGAAACTAAATGCATGCTTATGGGTTTTGAATAAATGTGCAGAAATTGAATGGAACAGACTTTTGAAGCTATCTATCACCCGCTAGGTTTCTACACCCTGCTCTTCAGAAAATGATCACATTCTCCTTTGCTTTGTTTTACTGATTCTTCTCCAACAGACTATGTTAGAAATTGTATCACTGGTAAAGGAGCAACATATAAGGGAAATATATCAGTCACAAAAAGTGGGATCGAGTGCCAAGCCTGGAATTCTACAATACCTCACGAACACAGGTAAGATTGGTAGGATCAGCCCTACCTTTTCCATCAATGGTTGTTCTTTGAATATTTAAATACATGGACTATGATCATAGGTGTCTGCAGGGGTGTGTGTGAAAAAAGTCAAGATGGTAATCATTTGGTGGCAGCCAACTTCTTGCCTTTTTTGATTCCTTCAATAGAAGAGAACATCTGTAGCTCAGGATTGAACTGTGGAGTCCTGGGTGCTCTCTAAGCTTGGTGGTTGGCTTGCAACATTCCATTGCCTGCTAGTAAACCACCAAGCTCAGAAGGAACCCAGGACTCCACAGCTTTTGACTCCTCTATGCACACGTTTGAGTGTGACAGAAAATTCTTGCATCAATGCGCTGACCAACACATATGTTACATGGTACGAAAATAGGAACACTATTCCATGAGGAAAAGGGTTAATTGATCAGTATTAGATCAGCTGTTACACTAGGAAAACAGTTTTGTCATTTTTCTTTTCAAGAATGTACAGTGACAAAGTAACTTGGGAAATTATTCCAAGGAATCTGGAAGAATCGATGAGCCTTATTTGTCCTGAAGGGTTGGTTGGAATTTGCATTTAAGTTTTTAGATTGTTGGAGCTAATCATTAAAGTGGCCCTCAGAAAGTGCAACAGAGTCTAGTGAATCAGATGGCATCCACATTCTTCTCATAAATAAAAAGATAAACATGTAAAGCTAGCATGCTAGGAAATATTTGGAAATAACCCTACCATCATGCTTTACACCTTTAAAAAAAAAAGAGAGAAGGAGTAAAATCAATGAATTTGAATAAATAGTGTGCAGCCCATGCTCTGTTCCATGCAGACTGCCTTGAGTAAATTATTACCATTTGGCTTAGGCAAAAATGCTGTATTGATAGTAAGCCATTATTTTATTGCTTGTTATTATCCTGTCACTTAAAAGTAATTGAGGGAGGGAGAAGGACTCAGCTAAATAATGTGTTCTTTTTATGATTTTTAATTTTCTCAATATATAAGGCAAAGAGAAAAGCAAGATGCTTACAGGCTGGATGATTGATTTAAAACTTCTTTTTTTTTTAAGAAACTCATTCTTTTAGAATTTGCTATCTGTCTCTATCAGGCTCTACGCTTTAAATTCAGAGGAGTTAGATAAAGGAAAAAGGACAAGGACAAATAGTTACCCGTCTGTGACTCTGCAACAGAGGCTAGCTTTGTGGAAATTGGAAGGTCCCCAAGAGGGCCTTATTCCCTAGTAATTAAAAAAAAAAAGCCAACATTCTGAAGTATTGTGAAATATCATGAGGATTCATGGCAGAAGGCCTACATCTCTTGAGATGTTGATGTTTTCTAAGATTTCGGCTTTAGCAGGACAGATAAAGCTGCTGATCCCTGCTCCGTATCACTGGTTTTGAAGCAGGCAGAGTTAAAGAGGTGCAGTGATGAGGGTAAAAGACTACCCGCCCGCACCATGTTTGCAGTCCCTTTCATGAGCCAGTCCAGTTGTTCAGGTTGCAACAGCAGTAAAATGTGAGTACTGCCTTTCCCTGAAATCCTGCTGGTGCAGTGGCATATTGAAAGGTTGTTCACGCCACTGGCAAGATGACCCGGGTTCTGACCCCAGCAGAGCTCGAGAAAGCTTGTGGCATATATTGGTTTCTAATTCTCCTAACTGCTGGGATTTTATCTTCTCAAATTCCTTGCTTTTTGTTGCTCCTGTAGATAATCTTATTAGAATCTTTCTGGGCAAGGCTGAAGGACAATGATGTATTTAGGGTAATCTGGATTATTTGCTGCTAACTTGAAGCAAGTGCTTATCTTTCCCAGCCTAGGAGTTTTGGCTGAGAGGTGGAGAAGGAAATTCCCCTTATACTCTACCCTACAAGAGCAAACCACAGTTAAATGCAAACATGAAATGTAATTATCTATCAAAAGAACTTCCCTGAAGTTTCCTTACACAAAGCTATGATGAACTACACTACACTACACAGCCAAGTGTACCATCTAGGATGGTATTTTAAAACATGCATCTGGGAGAAGTAGTGAATTTTCAGATAAGTTGGCTTTGGAAATCTTAGAGTTACCCATTGTGGCATGGAATGTTGGCTGGTAGATGAAACATTCTTTTACTTTTTAGACCTGCATCCCTTAAGGGAAGAAACTCATTGTAAAAGCACAAAAGTGCCATATTTGGGTAAAGATTCTGCTAAATTGACTGAGGTTGCATGTTATTTTGGAGAGAAACTCCCTTACCCTTATTGCATAGCAATAGGACTTCTTAACCAACTTCATTGGATGTGTTCTTCTAAATAGTATCAATCTGGTAATATAAAGTAATAGTTATGATACCGCTTGCCTTTTAACCTGTAAAGTACCCCGATGCCTCTACTTTGCAACTTCAGGGGAGGTACAATTTAAGTTGGTCTCTGTGTGTATTTCTAGAAATACATGTAAATGAAAATTACTCATTAAATCCTAGATCATATATTTGACCTACTGATTTGCTCCAGAAGTTTAAAATGGTTTCTAAATTTAAATTTCTAAATGTAATACATGAGTGTGAATTTGTGTGTGTGTATACTTGGAGGGTGGGGGGTAGAGATTAAAGGTGTGCACAATAGTTCAAGACCAAGATGTTCCAACCTTACAACATCCTGTTTTGACTTCACTGGTGGAAATAGGAATTCTGACCTTACTGAACAAGAATAGACATTTTCAGTGAGGTCAGATGGAACATTTCAGTTGGGAATGTCTGAATCTGACAATGTTTTTCACATCCACACCCACATATATGTGGGATAAGGAAGCCCATAGTCAGATAGTTAATTCATGAAGATGGAAAGGTTCACAACAAAATGTGCATGCTCTTATACTGTAATGATTATCATTTTAAAACTAGCTTTTTACCTTCGAGCTATCGAGGTAAAGATCTTCAAGGAAACTACTGCCGGAATCCACGGGGAGAAGAAGGTGGCCCTTGGTGTTTTACAAGCAATCCAAAAATACGTCATGAAGTCTGTGAGATCCCCCTCTGCTCTGAAGGTAATGCTCAGAACATTGGCTATTGTTTGAACTCAGTTTTGTGTGAAAACTGGAAACTATTCGAGCATAACCAAATGTTGAATATCACAAATATTATGTTAGCAGTTACTAATCCCATTCTGCTTTTGGGTTCAGATGCACGTCTCTACAACTTGATATGACTTTTTAATTTTAAGTTATGTTACATAGTTGAGTAATCAGTTTATTGTTGTTACGTTGCACAACCTGGTCCTCAGTCTCTTTTGTTTCTCCCATCTCTTCCATAAGAAAGGAGGCATTAGTACTCACAGAAAACATGTTGAAGATATAGCAGTGCTATTTTGGAGCAATGGGACTGATGTTCAAAATTAGGAGCTCTTTTCTAAAATTGTTATAACTGGGCTTAAAGGAGAGAGAGAGAGAGAGAGAGAGAGAGAGAGAGAGAGAGAGACTTTAAGCCCAATTATGATGATATTTTTATCCTTCCCTTCCCTTCCCTTCCCTTCCCTTCCCTTCCCTT